TATATATCTTCTATTAAACCGGCTTCAAGTTTCCCCCGACGTAAAGTAACTCCTTAATATGTTGAGCTATTAATCACGGATTTGGAAATAAATCTTCCTCTAAATTAAACTAAACAGTAGCCGAATCCTATTTACTATACTGGATATACTATAGAAATACCTAAGCTTCGAATACTTCCATTATAACAGCACGGCCTTGACTACTATTATTCTTATCTACTCCGTACTTTTGACATATTTGATTCAAACCACCAATGCCAGTCTTGTTTTTTCCCTTTTTTTCCTTTTCTCTTCAAATTCTGGCTAAATGATCAACAACGTTGCCGTTCCCCGCAAAGTTGATTTTGCTTTCCCCCGCAAACCTTCGCTCAGCTCCGTCGTCTTGGCTATCCAGCATCCTTCACACCAACAAAGCCCCCCTATTCGTCCCGACAATAGCATGAATGGGTGAGTCTATGTGACCTTCGCTTATTCGTGGTACTAACTAACCTTATCACTGCCCATCTTCGTGTCGCATCCCACGTTTCTTGGGGAGACCCAACGATGGCCAGCTCAGGAATGCCGAGGGCTATTTAATATCATCCGTGCTTAGGTCTCAACGCCCAGACGGAGACAGGTGTCTTTCCCCTCCTTATCTCCATGGCTAGCTCCTTCTAACTGGTTCAAGGATCAGCGGTCATGGAAGGTAACCGTAACAGCGAGTCTTTCGACACCCTCTTGGGATTCGTGGAATCATTCGACCATCTTGGCCGTCTTGTTTTTCCGTGGTAGATGTCATCACCGTGTATTGGGGGAACAGGGTTATATGCATCGTGTGATAATAACAACGTACAAGCTTCAGCTCCTTCTTCCATATATTAGTTTGCTTTATTCCGGCGCTGATCTCTTCATGAATCTCCTACTTCATTGTCTTATATGAGCCAGGATCGCGATCATCGTTGTTTCAGGCCTTGAAACGACGTGTCGAGCCACTTTTCGGTGACCGATCTGTTATTTAAACAGCAAAGACCTCTGAGACTGGCTTGATCCATTTTGACAAGATGTCAGTCATACTCAGAAGACTCGTCCACAATGAGGCGATGCGCGAGGACCCTAAAGAGATTTATGGATGGAGAGTGTACATGCTCGCCTGTTCGGTTAGTCTTTCTCAACCTTCCATGACAACAGAGACTGAACATCTACAGGCTTGCTGTGGCGGCATGCTGTTCGGAATGGAGACCGGTATCATAGGAGGTGTCCTTACGATGGACCCTTTCCAAGTGTATGCGCTTTCTTATCTTTGAATATCTACTGCACACGCCAACCGCTGACCTCAAATATATAGAAAATACGGATTAAAGAACCTTGGAGATGTAGGAGAGGCCAATCTCTCCGCTAATATTGTATCCACACTACAGGCAGGGTGTTTCTTTGGCGCCCTCATCGCCTCCCAAATAGCAGACAAATGGGGTCGAAAGATAGGGTTAATATCCGCATCGCTAATTGCTATCGTTGGCGTTATCATGCAAGTTGCAGCAAGCGGACACCTGGAAGCCATGTACATCGGACGGTGAGCATCACTCCTCATACTTGTCTTTTTGAACGCTTCGATCTAACTGAGCCCAACTCAGTCTAATCAACGGTTTCGGCGTCGCTTCGCCTCAATGATAAATCCTCTCTATGTCTCCGAAAACGCTCCTAGAGCTATCCGCGGTGGTCTAACAGGCCTCTACCAACTGTTCATCACAATGGGAATCATGCTCGCTTTCTGGATCAACTACGGCTCTACCCTTCACATCAAGGGCACAGCGCAATACATGGTTCCACTTGCCATGCAGGCCCTCCCCGCCCTTCTTCTGCTTGTGGGTATGCTCCTATGCAACGAATCCCCCCGCTGGCTCGCAAAGCAGGACCGCTGGGAAGACGCTCGGAAGACTCTCTCCCGCGTGCGCAACCTCCCCCCAACGCATCCGTACGTCGAGAACGAGTTCCAAGATATTGTCAACCAACTCGAGCAAGAGCGCCAACTCATCGGTGGCTCCGGTTTCTGGGACCTTATGAGAGAGATGTGGCTCATCCCAAGCAACCGCAAACGAGTCATGATCAGCATCTTCCTCATGGTCTGTCAGCAAATGACTGGCACGAACGCCATTAACTACTACGCACCGCAGATCTTCAAGAATCTGGGCATCACCGGCAACACGACAGGCCTGTTCGCCACAGGAGTGTACGGAATCGTAAAGATGGTGGCATGTGCCGTCTTCCTAGTCTTCGTTGCCGATTCTCTAGGCCGTCGACGTTCTCTCCTCTGGACGTCTGTCGCCCAGGGTCTAGCCATGCTCTACATTGGGTTATACGTCCGTATCGCGCCCCCAGTGGAAGGCCAGCCCGTCATCCCCGCCGGCTATGTGGCTCTCGTCTGTATCTTCCTCTTTGCCGCAACCTTTCAGTTCGGCTGGGGTCCCGTCTGCTGGATCTATGTCTCTGAGATTCCGACTACCCGACTGAGAAGTTTGAACGTCGCCTTCGCTGCCGCGACTCAGTGGCTGTTCAACTTTGTCGTTTCTCGTGCTGTTCCCAATATGCTGGTGACCGTTGGTGCTAATGGTTACGGGTCAGTTTTCCTTTCCATTCTGTATTCACATTTTCTCAGCTTCTCATGTATATAAATACATTCTGGACTCCAACACCGGCTAACAAAAAATGTGAATAGGACATACATCATTTTCGCCTGTTTCTGTTTCTCGATGGGCGTCTGGGTTTGGTTCTTTATTCCCGATACCAAAGGTATACCTTGCAACTCCCTGGCACATCCTGTTTACCAATGATTATTTACGGAAACTGACTTTTTCTTTGATAGGCCTCTCGCTGGAGAAAATGGATGAGCTCTTCGGTGCCACTAGTAATGCTACTCATCTGAAGACTGAAGATATAGAGAGGAGTGCGTCCCAAGCGGAGGGTGACCACAAAGCTGAGGTTGCTACAGAAACTAGGGTGGAAAGGGTGTAATATTGCCGACCTTCTTTCTTTCTCTTTCCCGGCCTTGCGATTTGCTTGGTGGTCCGTTTTGAATATGGACATAGCTGCATAGGTCAATTGGATGTCTATTCATCAAATAATATTGGACTTGGTAGTATTCTGTCCAGTGACAGCCTCGCTATATATATGATAGTCAAAATTCTAATACAGTAATGACAATGTGTGGAGTCAATATATTTAAGACCGGTTGCGTGGCTAAGTCGCTGCAAGAGGCCGGACCGCTTGTCCTGTGTTTGGGTTTTGTTGCGCCATCGGCGCCAAAACCGAGTCCTCGACCTACTTGTTGTGGTACAGGCCAATTAGGTTCGAAGACAGGAACATCTATGGTTCTCGAGCAGCCCAGGGGATACTGTGTCTAATCTCAACACGCCTACTGTTGGCGTGGTGCTGATTGCGGCCTTTAAGCCGTTGTCGTTTTTGCTTCTTTGAATAAAGCCACATGTTTACCGCATAAAAAATGTTGGTCATCCCTTTAGAGGATATTTAGAAGGAAGAGGATTTTCTTAGAGAAGTAAGGTTTCAAAGACTCATTGGAGTTTGTCCCCGTCATGGGCTTTTTAGTCTCACAAACTGAAATGGGCATGCTGCTGGCCCGGTGCCCTTGACGCCTTATTTCAGCGTCATGAGCACCAGGCCGGCGGCACTCGCATGGCAGAAGGTGGCATTCTTTGACCACACTAAGATTGCTGTTAGAAAACCTGTTCTTTTATACTATGATCCTGGAATTTATCTTACCATTTTCGTGCCCGTGTCGGTGAATCTTCTCGTGCAGGTTTTTCTACACAGCTTTGTTGAGCAGCATCTTTTGGATGCTAAAACACCCTTCGCTTGGTGATGAGAGACGCTTCGTGTGACGATGTGACTGGGGTATCGTGAGTACGTCAAGTACTCTCATAACTGAATCATGGGCGCTGGATCACGCAGCAATTTCGTGAGCCATCCAGCTGAAGGTTCATATCGAGGGCTGGTAGCATGAGACGGTTGTTATAGTGAGATGAAGGATATGTACGGAGGGGGTAAAAGATCTGGAAAGGTTGATTGTGTTGTCAGTAGGTCATGGTGCCTGCCCATCTAGGCCTTCAGGCACCTACGCATGACAGTTGTTGCTCCTTAAGAAAGGTCGACCTTGTTCGGATTCAAGACTGCGGACCAGCATACCTGCCTAATCTTATCTACTTTCTTGTTAATACCAATGGCAAGGTAATTGTAGGGTTCATATTGAGCCGAGAGAGCTCCTTCTTATAATCAGTCACTCAGCGTTTGTCTACTCTATCGCGTGGCCTTCCAACTACATAAACGAATCGAAGGTTCCTTGAACCCCTCGGGAAGCTGAATGCTTCCAAGTTCAAGACGTCGAACCTATTCACAATACCGGCCAACCAAACAAACCACATTATAACAAGGAGTGATATAAGATACAATAGGCTTTGTTATTGTTCCTATGGAGAATAATGGATATAAAAAAAACTTCAAAGACTGTCAAAACGCTTCCTATTTACCTATGTACAATCGCTTGCTAATATTCAATCCTTAACCTTCACATCACATCATGCAATTGAGTACGCCCGGCTGTTGGGCTTTACTTTGTCCTGATATTCCCACGCCCGGGGAAGCGCCGCAGCTTCTGAGTTTGACTCCGGGTCATTCGCCGAGAAGGTTCATCGTCAAGGCTAAGACCGCCAATGCCAGGTCCAAGTTCGGACCGTTTTGGTGAAAAGAAGGCGTCGCTGCCGCTTCGTCCATAGCGAATATTCCGGATTGTAGCATTCGTGGCCGTAGTAGCTGTCGTCACCGTAGTTTCGGTGTCGGAGTCACGGTCTAGTGGGTCCGACACATCGGATTCGTCGCCCTTCAAGCTCTTCAAACTGAAACTATGATCCTGATAGCCGCCGTCATATGACGGGAAAGGGTGATGGCGCCGAGCCTCGGGCGTCTGAGCTGAAAAGCTAGACCCGGTCACAGTCGAGGAGAAGGAAAGCGGCGGCACAGATGGCTGCCTAGTAAACGGCTGAAGTTCTTGACCGCTGCTATTCTCGAGCCTAGGAGACGTGCTGGGGAGGCCGGCAGGTGGTGGCTGGGTTTGGTTCGCTTGCGGCACTTGCCCACTGCTGATGGCCGACGAGAAACGATAGAGAGAGAGTAACCCCAAAGCCTCTTGAACTGTCATGAATATCAAAAGGAGCTTTCCGTATCTGTCGAAATAGTGTCGTTCGGAAGAAACCTGCGGTAAATTTCCTCCCAGATGAACTGCTGCCACGAGCTCTGCAAAATAAACAAGAATTTCCATGCCGTTCCACTGAGCGAGAGGTTGTTTCAGGGCTTCCAGTAACGCGAATCCGGCAATAAGGCTCGCACTACCCAAGGAAGCTACTTCAATAAAATCTCCGGGTAGAGAGATATGGCCATATTGTGATACGAGCCAAGCAGCGATAGAGGACAGAAGCAATCCCAGTCGGAGATACTGGAAGATGAAATAACTATGCAAGTCCACAGATTGGTGGGGACCAGCATTTGTCGTGTGCTGTTGCGATTGCCATGCGCCGTGATCCTCATCCTCAGGCGATTTGATGGTGAAAGCTTTATCAAACAGACTCTCTAGCCCGGTCGAGGCAGCATGATCACTCATGGGGAAGAACTTCGGAGGTGCAAATGTAGTGTCGAAGGGGCCATTGTTCCGCGCCCAGGGGCTCGAGGATTGGGCTGGAGTACGGTGGAACGGATTGCGCTCAACAACCTGCTGGATGGGTTTCTGGCGCTGAGCAGTCTGGGTGCGCAGGTTCCATGAGGGAGGTTTAGGAGCGGCGGGTAGAGATCCGTAGAATGGTAAAGGTCCATCGAGAACAGATTTCTGCTCTCTCTGGTGCACGCTCACAGTAGGTGTAACATTATGCTGTACAGAAGGTGTCCAATCCATGTCGTCTCCTTCCGGGGGAGGGGTAGGGAAAGTTGGCTCCTCGGGAACAGGCCGAGGAGTCGCTAGCTTTTCGAGAGGAAAGCGTGGTGTGCCCTGTTGCAGCCTTTCGCTCGGGTTTGTGAGAAGCTGTTTGCTTCCAGTGGTATGAACGGGAGACTCGCCACGTCTACGAGCCGGGGTTGCTGCCGGAGTATTGTCGGTCCAATTTACCAAAGGGCGAGTGTCATACTGCGCAATGCGCCGAGAGAATAGAACAGACTAGACTATTGTGAGTTTGATGCCGTTCAATATCCATGGTTAGCAAGTGAGTGAGACATACCAAAGCAATGAAAATGAACATAAACGTATGCAAGGTCGGTGGAAGATGCGATTGTAAACCACTTGACAGGGGGTCTCTAAGCAAAGCCCAAAAGACACATCGCACCACCATGACAATAAGTTGGACTTGGTAGTATTCTCCCAGACCGACGAAGCGGCCAGCTCTCCCTTCAACCTTGAAGCGCAGTTTCGGGTTATACCAGGCAGAAAGTATGCCTGCTACTAGAGACAGGCCAGCATAAGGTGCCAGGTCAACGAAGCAATAACTTGGCATGCGGCGTGTCTCTAATGTTTGCTGAACACACGTTACGATGGATGCCGGTGTAAGGAGATCATCCGGGTCCCGTAGAAATTCATCAGTAGCTAAAGCACCCACTAGATTCCAGGAGAGTTGGCCAACAACACTAGCCCAGTAAGTGATGGCGCCAGCATAAAGTAACAAGCTCCTCCAATTCCATTTGCGTGCATGCCTTGCTGCTCTTCCCGCTTTGCTGCGATCCATCATACGTCTCAGGTGGTCTGATTTTGCCTCGTATCCTGCCTGGCGGATGCGGTCCTTCACCCTGGGCTCACATTTGGCACATACTTGCGGATACCGTTCTTCAAGGTTCTTACGAAACTTCGGATATTCTTGTTCGTATGCGCCATAGTTTGGATCGTCTGTTGGTGGGAAATATGCGGCGAGAGCACTTGTGAAAAGATGCTGATTTCGGATACATTGCGCGCAGAATAGACCGGATCCCGTAATATCAGTCGACTCGAAAGGGGTACTCGATACATCGGATCCGTAGGAATTAGGATTTGTATCTGCTGCTGGAGGGTCCGCGATTTGTCCTTTCTATCATAGTTGCCGAGATGATTAGCACGTCTTTCAGAACCACGAAAAAGAAAAGAAAAGAAAAAGACCTACTTCATCCAGGTAATTTATTGCCTCACAAGCGTTACAGCGCCATTTACGGATAGGACCTTTTTCAGTCTGTGCAGACCGTCTCCCGCAATAGAAGCAAGTTATCCGCTTTGCGAAGAGAGGCGCCATCTCATGTCCGAAATGTTGACATTGATAGCGGGAAGGTTGTTGATGGAGCAACAACCTCCCATCTAAGGATGGGCAGGAGTTAAGACAAAATAATCGCCGAGTCGCACGGACCACGTGCCCGATCATCACCCATCGGTCGAGGGACAAACAATTAAAGATTTCTACACAAGTGCCGACTTTTGGTTCTTTTTTTGGTACATGGCGTTACTAGCCTCCTCTTGATTGTTAAACAATAGAGAGCGCTAACAATAATGCTATTCAATTGGCTGTGCTATACCACTGCAGAAGATTATTCTAACTTATCTGTCAACAAATGTTACTGATGACGCTTGCAGCTGCAAACTAACATACGTTGGGTTTCTTTGATTGCATTCCGGGGTCCATTGATAGCTTTCGACCTCTGAGATGATGTTCCTGACTCAGTCGCCCCTGAGAAGCCTCCTTTGGCTTTTCACCATAGGATGTGTGGTTGGTGTATCAGCATTCATTGTAAGCTCCTAGTGTTGACATACATCTACTCGTCTCTCTCTATTCGTGACTAATCATCATAACTACGCTTACAGATCTTCATCTATGCCCTACACAAATCACAAAATACTAATGTTCCTAAATGGCGCTCGAAAAACACCCCCACCCATCTTCTCGTCGTCTTAGGCAGCGGCGGGCATACAGCCGAAATGTTCTCCATGTTACGACGGATAAAGCTCGATCCGTCCCAGTATACATATCGCACATACATTGTGAGCTCGGGGGATAACTTCAGCGCCACGAAGGCAGTAGAGTTCGAGACTCGATATGTCAATTCCGTCCAAAAAGCAACTGCGGTCGACCGTAGCCCGGCAGAATCATACGCTATTGTGACAGTGCCGCGCGCACGTCGCGTACATCAGTCATTTCTGACGGCACCCTTTTCAACCCTCAGATCTTTCTGGGCATGTCTTCTTGTCTTGCGTGGACAATATGCTGACCAAAGGCGGCCTCCTTCAATGAGTTCGGCGTATCCGGATGTGATTCTTACGAATGGACCTGCTACGGCGGTTTGCGTTATACTAGCTGCCAGGCTCCTCCGTCTGTATAATTTCATCAGAGGCTTCGTTCCGTTCAAAAAGGCCTTGGGAGGTGAGAACTTAGCACCGACTGATCACCAACTCCGTACGATTTTCATAGAATCATGGGCCCGTGTGACAACTTTGAGTCTATCGGGTAAGATACTGTTACCTTTTGCTGACCGTTTCCTCGTTCAATGGCCTGGACTAGAAGGGATGAGAGCGTGGAAGGGCATGAGGAAGACGGAATACGTGGGCATGCTTGTGGATTGAATATGGTCCAGGTTATCCCGATGTCAACATTGATATCTTTTGAGTGTATTTCTATGTACTGTACAACACGAAAGCCATTTGTGAATGAAGGCTTAGAAGACTAGTCTGCTCCTGTATCACTGACACGTAACCAAGAGTCCAATGGCGAGGCGATCGCTTTCTTCGTCCTTTCGATATTGTGACGGACTAAATAGATTCAGAATTCAAACACAGCCATAAGAATGCCTAGTCATTAGTAAACGGTCCCCCTCCAATTCAGCTATAGAAAGTTTTTAAGATCAAGTTTTCTACGGGGGGTTAGGGATATGCCACAAAAACAAACTTAAGCAGCGTTGGCGTCAAAGTAGGGCTGGCATTAACAATTATACTGGTATCTTAAAGTCAGTTATACAAGACAGTTGTACAGTCAGAACAGCACTTTTCCTTCCAATTTGTGTCTTCATTGCAAAGGGTTGTAGAATGGGGTATAGTCCGAGCCGTTCGATGAAAATGTTCGATCACCAACCATCCGCGCCTTGAGAGCGGCGCGAAGGGCGTCCGCATTCTGTTCGCCCTCAACTTTCATTTGGTTGATGCGGAGAAGTTTACCATCTTGTGTAAACACGTAGACGCATTTTCCTTGTCGAGAATCAATGGGATGAGCGCCGTCCACAAAGGGTAAGCCTGGGACCACAGCATACGCTTCGCTCCCTTTCATCGGTTCAACTTCCTCTATCTCGGTGAAAATCACCCGTCGATATTGGAAGGAAGAAGGGTTAGCTGCAGCATCATTGATTACTAAAGCCTTGCTCCATAAAGACCCCAATACACGAATCCGCCTGCTGATATCTAACCAGGTCCAATTTGTCCAGTCGATATGGCGGTCATCAGGCTTGATCTTAGCTGCATGTATCAGGGATTCATGTTCTTCTGGCGAACGCCAGCCGGCATCCCGTACTGGAGGAACAAACAGGCCTTTTCGGATACCGTCGACAAGAATCTCAGCTCCCTTAGGAGCAACAAGGTTTAAGAGCTCTGGTACGGTACATGACTCGGGCCTTGGGATCTCAAATCCAGGTGGCGGGGTCTGCTGTAGAATGACGCCGTGGTCGAAATGCTTGAAATCTAAGGTCTGCAAAGTGACCCCAGTCCTAGTTCTACCAGCCAAAAGAGTGTGATGGAGCGGAGCGGGACCACGGAAGCTGTTGTTTACCAATTAATCACCGGTGTGACACTCTCGATCGTTTACTTATACTCACTCGGGAAGCAAAGAAGGGTGAACATTTAGCCCCCCATACTTTGCGCCATGGAGAATTCGTGGAGGCACAAACAGACCGAAGGATACAGCTACTATAAGGTTGATGGGTCCCCCAGGTAGTACAGGTGGCTAACAGAGTCAGTAACACTTCAGGGCCCCGAGCTTTTCTTTATAATACCGTCCATCCTGTGAATGTATCTATCTCATGAACCGGGAGCGAAAGGTCTGTTGCCGCAGCTTTGATGGGGACTATCAAAAGAAACGTAAGTCTAGTCCGGTATCTTTTCAACTTGTGAAATTAGATACCCTCGCGTATTTTTTCAGGCCTCTTCCAACCCTTTTACCCGGTCTGCAAACGACATCAATGGAGGATATCCGATCTGGTCGATCCAGATGTTCCTTGTGGAGAGCATTCAAGGAAGCTATGCTGAACTCATCGGAGCCGCAAAAGAGTATTCGGAGGGGTTCGTAGGATCTTGTCGCAAAGAATCGATGTGCGAAATATCGGCTAGTTCCAGCACGTCTGTATATACAGAGCGCCCCGGGCCCCGCGGAAGAAACATGGCGTGGGAGCTGCCAAAACATAGCTATCTTCGCCGGCTAACACTGAAGCTCCGGAAAGCTCCCCGAACACTCGAAACACTAGCACGTGATGTCACCGCATTCACGTCTCAAGTCGATCAGCAATATACTCCCCCACCTTTGACTATTGCACCAGCTGCCTGCGAGTTACGGTTCACGATATAATGATGCGATGTCAGGGAGTGATCTTGCTTCGGTAGTGCCGGCACAGCTGGCATATCTCACTATATACAATCCCCTCCTTGGACCGACCGACGAAACAATACAGGATCAAGTCGTCTTTTACACTTCCAGATCGGATCGTCTGCAACGGAGCAGAAGTTCTACGGCTGAAAATGAAAACAAAGAACCAAATGATGGATGGAATGTGAGACTGCGCCAGATAGGACTGGCGCAGGGCATGGTGAGCTTCGCCAGGTGGGGACCGCTGCTTCGACACCCAACAGAACTATACTGAATAATTGGTATAGGAACTTTTCAAAAGGACAGGCAGTCGACTACGTGGAGACGGACAAGTCGCTTATTGTGCTACATGAACTCGAAAGGAATTGGTGGATCTTAGCTGTAAGCATGGCCTTAAAGAAAATGCCATGATGTTGAATGCTGAGATCGCTATAGTCAATTGACCTGACGCGGCTTCCAACTCACCCTTCCAATGGACCTTCGTCGCAGCGCGATACTTCAGAGACTCCCTCTTCTCATTACTCTTCACGGGAGATGTGTCCCTCCCATCATCTGATTCAGCAACTACGCCGAGCGCATTCCACTTTCCTCCTTCATCATGACATCACCCTTGACGCTTTATACGAACGTGTTGGCAGGTCCACACTCTGCTCCCTCCTAGAAAACTTCTGGTTGCGATTTGCCTGGAACTGGGACATCATTCTAACTGGAAACCCCGCTGTGGATGTGTATAATGGCATAAAGCTTTCTGCTGGCGGCGAGCTAGGCATTGGTGTGGGCGAGGAAGAATGGGGAAGCGGGGAGAGGGAGGTGCTTGAGGACTTCGTGGTACGGACTGATGGCCTTGTGGATATCGTGGTGTCTCGGTTTGGTGACCCGAATACGCCTGATGAGAATGCTGCAGCCGCGAACAAATCAGCAGATGCCATGCGCAATGATGACGATGAAACGCATTGGCTTGGTTTAGACACATATCCTCGACCGTCAGACGGTGTTATATTCTCAGGTGTAGGGGCTATCAGTAGATCTTCTGTGGTGCGCATCTCACAGTGGATGGAGTGGATCTACAGATACGGCATTGACGCATATGGGGTGGGTGAAGACCCAACATCACCACGACGTCGAAAACATCGAAAGAGACAACGAGGCCGCTCTGGAAAAGGTGCAAATACAATGCTACAAGCCAGAGAAAATCCCCAATTTGGAGACACAGGTGACGGTTTCTCTCCAGGTATACCACGCCCACTTGTCATGGGGACGACAAAATCAATGCAGCCCCCACAAGGGTCTGATGGAGTAAGCCTACTCTCAAGCGGCGAAAGCTCTCCTGCAAGAAGTGAGAAAGGCAGTGATTGGATGGGTGTGACCACTGGTGCATTTGTGAAATACCTCACGCTCGGATACGGTTCGTCCTGGAGCAAGTCTAGGACACCCAGCGCACATCCCCGTGTTGAAGCGTTGAAGCGAGAAGATGACTTAGCCAGCTCAAGCAAGCAGACAGGTCAACCTACAGATAAGCAGGAAGGCTCTGAAGAGAGGCCTTCTAAACCTGAAGATCCTCCTGTGAAAGCTAGAAGCCGTGGTAAGTTTCTCATTGGCCTAAAAAATGAGACAGTGAAGGGAGATAGTCAAATTTTGGAGACCAGTCCAACAAACAAGAAATCGAAGGATAGAATAAGCCAGAGGACTTTACATATGTACTTGGCAAACCCATCAGAAGAGAATCCATCAGGTCGGTATTACACTTCTTCAATCTTATTGACCTCAATGCTAAAACCGATTGACCACTAGGCATAATCCAACAACGAGCAGTAGTCTACGTAGTAAGCCATTCTTCTCTTCCATCACAATCTCGAGCATTTACTGACGAGGTAACAGCACAAACCTTTTATCTATACTTTTCTATTCGATCCTCAAGCTCCGTCTCTGGCAGACCCATCTCTCTATCACAATATCCATCACCAACTACAACCTCTCCAAGGGTCACTCAGCAAGTCAACATCGCCGGCAGTTGCCGCAGCCAGAATCTCTGTATCCGGCCATTCATTTGATATCAATCAACGATTCTCAGCCGAGAACCTACCATTCTACGATCTTGTCTACGACCCAACCAACCTAACAATCCGCTCTTCAATCCCCAATATCCCTGACCTCGGTTTTTCCCCACTAGAAGCCCCGCGAGATCCCAGCGCAACGCCCTGGTCGCGTGTCGAAAGCCTCAATATCCACCACCGCCTACTGAGCACCTACATAGAAACCCGATCCCGACCGCTCGAACTAGAGAGAACCTGCAAAACAAGTCGTGGCTGGTGGCTTGTTTGGGTCCGAATGTCCGACCCATCGTACAAACCCGCCAGTGACGATAGTAGCACATCTCAACCCGACGACCCTCGCCAGGAGGCTTTCCTAATCCGGAAGGGAAGTGACTATGTCTCGACGTCTTCGCACGCGCGCAATAAGAGCGGGACTCGGTTCTTCAGGGACCTGGGCGGTGCGTCTTCGCCGGGACTATCGGATATGGGGCCGGCCAAGTTGGCTGAGGGGTTGGGGCTGGATGCAAGACGGTATATTGAAAGTTTACTCAATTTGAACAAATGATCCCCCGGGGGCGTAGAAAAAAAAATACACACTTTTCGATGCTTTTTTTTACATTCTCTTGGTTTTCTAAAGAACGTGGAGGTTGTAATATTGAGATTAATCCTGAATTGTTTTCCCCAGAGGGCTGCCTATTCTGACGGGGTATAGAAATATGTACATGTCTCACTACCCCTGACGCAGCAGCACTAGTACAATACATAGAATAGGGACCAGCTGCTCAAGGCATCAACTTTATCAATCAAGTCACGAACTAGGGAACTAAATTAAGGATGGATATGTCACTTCGATTCTCCTGTGTCAGTCTAATTCAACACTTCGTTTCTCCTATGGGACAGGAGGCAGCTGCCATTTCCATAATTAGGCATGCTGGACTAATGCGTAGTCTAAGGTGCTAACGGGCCGCCCACATGTTACTATCAATAGCACCATCTTACCAATAGTTGACACCTCTTCCTGTAATGGAACGCGATACCAAGATATACCGGTATTTCTACTGATGGGTAGTCGATAGCAGATCCCGAGGTTTTAAGGATAACATGTGTTTGATGCATTTCACGAAATATGTATCAGGAGGAAAGCTAGCAGACAGGGTACAATGACATCAGAACCATGCAGATGCAAATCGCAAAGGAGTAGGATGTGCATTGATTAGTAAATAAATATGTTAGGGGTGATGATGTTGTTTGGTTCCCCATCAAAGCTCTGATTGATCAAGGGAATAACAGCGTCGAGAAACTGGCCAAAACCAAAAGACAAAGTGAATCCATACATTCTCTTAACCGAAAGCAACACACAAAGGAATAAAGAAGAACTCTGCTGGGGAAATCCGAAGTGATAGGAATCATCTATCGTATCACGAAATCCGACTTTCTTTATCAACCTCCCGGAGATCCTTGACTGACGGGACACGCACGAGACAACGCCATCCTCAATAGCTCATTTCCGATCTGCACTATCCGGTTATTGATGACCCTGTTTTCCTGCCAGCGAAATGGCCATCCTCTGCCATAGTGATCGAACCGCCTCGTGGGCGTACGGGGAGTTGGAAAAGAGAAGAAAACCCACAAGGTTATGAAGACAACGCCTCCCTAGAAATAAAATAGAAGAAGTCTGCAAAACAAGAAAGTCGACCAACTGCATAGCCAGATAATCCCATAAACCTCGTGTGCCCGTGATTGAACATTATCCACACTCGCATCCAGGCACAGATCGGAACACGCCAACGGAGGACCCCTTTCTGAGTAAAAGAAAACACCAAATAGTCGAGACCCTTATCCGTTCATATAATCTCCGCATTAAACACAGACCTTTTGTGAAGGAGACAAAACTAGTTTACAGGATGGTGCACCCCTTCTTCTTCTTGTGAGTCTTGGTCAAGAGAGCAGCCCGGGTGGCAGCCTCGAAGACCTCACGGACACCCTCGTTGGTTCGTGCAGAGCATTCGAGGTACTTGTAAGCTCCGATCTTCTTGCGAACTTCCTCACCCTGAAAAACAGGTTAGAAGGATTCCAGCGTTCTCTGTTTACGGGGTACATACCTGTTCGGCGGTGACTGGCTTCTGGGAGGTCTTGGTCAATTCCTCAATGGTCTTGGGGTCATTGCGAAGATCCTTCTTGCATCCGACGAGAATGATAGGGAGTCCCTGGCAAAAGTGAAGCACCTCGGAAATCCACTGCATTCATCGTTAGTTTTGCATACCATTTCCTTCGTAGGTGGAGCCCCTTTTCAGGATTCCTCCACTTCACGGGATAAAATCATGAGCAACTCACCTTCTCCTGAACGTTGTCAAGGGAATCAGGCGAGTCAACTGCGAAGCAGATCAAGATGACGTGAGAGTCGGGGTACGAGAGAGGACGGAGACGGTCATAATCTTCCTGACCAGCCGTATCCCAAAGAGCGAGCTCGACACGCTTGCCATCAACCTCGACATCGGCAACATAGTTCTCGAAGACAGTGGGGACATAAACCTGAAAAGAATAAGGATCAGTTTGACGCGTTCGGGTCGAAAAGGGAGATATCACGGATCGGGTTGGATATCCGGTGAGAACTAACCTCAGGGAAGGTACCCTTGGAGAAGACACTGTGCACAGCATCACAGTCAGCAGTCTCTTCTTATTTGGACACAGAAGTAGTTTGAAATGGAGATACACTTACATCAAAAGACAAGTCTTACCGCAGGCACCATCACCGACGATGACAAGCTTGCGACGGATTTCGGCCATCTTGAAGTCAAGAGGATTAGCAAATGATTGGGATTAAAATTATCAAATGGAATAAATTCCAGATGAGGTGAGTGGCAAACAACAGGGGAAGAAAGGGAAGCTGTTGCGGGAGTTAAGTTGGATGGCGGAGAGGAGGTTAGAAGGCTGAGAAAGGGACAAGTCAGGCGCCCGAGGAAAAGGGTTATCACATACGGTGCAGGTGCAACGGCACTGATTTAATTATAGGGAGAGGGAAGAGAATAAAGTGGTTTAAAGGGGGAAATGGTTTGAGTCGGGGAGACGAGAAACAAGAAAACAAGAAAAGGGATTTGGGATATGGGTTCTGTCAAAGGACAATAGCGGATAAGAGTCTCCAGGGGAGCTTAAGATGAAGGATGATTGATGGATGGGTGGTGGAAGACAGTAAAGGGTAACGGGTCTGTATGGGAGCGAAGGTTATCGGCGTTGGCTCTTCTCTCGTTTTGGTTCCCCGGCTGGCCTTTCAGGTGAGGCTCCCCAAGTTGACTAAGTAACCAAAAACCAGACTAAAAAGCGCTGAAACGGTTAGCAACAAGCGATATTTTACACAGATAAAAAAGCTATGTGGCTGTGCTGGTTTGTTTCTCTTGCTACCGTTTTTTCCCTCTCTTTTTTTACTTTTCTTTTTTTATTTAAAAAAATAAAAAAAAAAAAAAAAATTCCGAATTCTTTCTTTTATTACCTGCGAACTTTGTACCCTACCTAACACTAATGGAGAGGAGCAAAATATTCTTCCCTAAGTGGAAGACATAAGTACAGCAACAGAAATTTCCTTTGTCCCTCACGGTCCCAAAATCATTCTATTTCCCTCCCTGTTCACATGTTGGTATCTTGGGTGCCTAGTTTTCTGTCGGCTTCCCATCCTCATTGAAGCCACCGTGGCTGTTCATACAATTGGTTGTATTCCAGTACCGTATGAAAGTACTGGCACTTCATTCGCTTACCGCCTTTGCAGGAAGTACCGAGTAGTACTAGTACTAGTAGTATGTATTTTAATTTCAAAAGCTGATAATTTTCCATCTTGGGTCTTTCATCCACCCACTTGAATTGAACTTGATCCACCAGAGATCCCAAACCTCCTTGACAGTCGAAACAACCAATGTTATCAGTTCCAATACTGATTGCATCGATCACCGAGTTCATAAAGCCACAGAAAACATACACATATACCTGGTATCTGTACTACATGTTGCAGTCGAGTACTAATTGCGTGGACACGTCAATCCTTCAGCTATAGTCGGAGCCTAGACACTGGTGGACACCTTGTATGCTCGGATTTATCGGTTATGGCTCCATTCTTAATATTAGCTCTCCTATAGGTATTATTAGCGATATGATTCGCTTGACAAAGGTCGGATGCGCGAAATTCATAATACATAGGTAGCAATAATAGATAATATCTATAGCACTATTTCCATACCTAAATAATCCTTGACGGTGCTCACGAGAATAGGTAACGACAAGCAACTTCTCCTTCCATCGATGATAAGCAATCAGGCTCTTATCAACCAAATTTATTGATCAATGGCATCATTCAACCTTAATACCCGTCCTGCGGTAAAAAAAAAAAAAAAAAACATAGAAGCAGATGGACCATTGAAAGCATATTAACATACTGCATATGATCACATCATTGTATGGGTCCTTGGGGGGTGACATTTTCCCTAAGACAAGAGTACAATACGTGGCGGTGCACACCTACCTGCGCCCACCCCTTAAACTACTAGGGTGGACCAGAATACCATACTCCGTCGTATACTTACTTTACTAGTCTCAGCAATTTAATACAAAACTTTATACATCTCACGTGTTCGTCATATGAAACTACTCCGGAGTACTCTGGGGTAACCTCTTCTCCTCGACTGGCATTTTGCTAGCAAGTGCAAAGGCTACTTACTATCAACTATTCTTACAAGCCGTCATACCAGCCACCAGGCCTGCGCTTATTACCGGCTTGCAGGAAGGCCTCAGCCACGGTGAAACCCAGAGCAGTGAACGCCTTGCAGCAAGTGCGGATATCTTTCTCGCTAACCTTTTATCTGGATGTGACTCAGTCCGATATGCAACTATGCTTGTTGGTCCACCTTTCTAACTGGCTGTGAGGATTCATTGGGCTGTCTATGCCGGCTTTGTTACTGTTCAAAACAATGGTAATTTTATAGTGCATTGCAGCATACAGCCTATGTGGTACTTAGCAAGAATCCAGCAAGAGGCCTGACAATGTGACTGACGCCATTAATGGTGATCACGCCCCTTTATATGTTGCCTAACTGCATCAAGCATTTGCTCTTTCACCCGTGACATCATGATTGTCACGGTTCTTGCAAGACTAGATGGGAAGGCTCCTGGGTGATGTAAATTATTTGTGTCTCGATCATAAAAGAACAGTGCCCTAGGCAAGCCAAGAAAAGACTTGACTCGTCTTACGACTCCTACATGATCGGGACCAGTCAGCCTTGCACGCACAGTAAAGAGTGCATATGCATACTTTCAGCTGAAGATGGAATCTACACAACAAAAGCCTCGCTGAGGGCGGGACTCCCCTGGAATTCGATACAAGTCCCTATGGAAAGTTTCCAACCCAAAAGGGAAAGAAATCAAGAGGGCCTCGTTGACATACTACAAGGCCATAGAGCAGGCTGTGATACATTTATGCCTGCCTGGATGCGGTCCGGACCTAAGGGATAGTTTGTGGCGCTGGAGTGGACATTACTCTCCGACAGTGAGGCTAGACCATTCTTCTTGGCTCTGCATATCTAAAGCGCCACTAGGTTTCCCACATTCAGACCCCAAAATTCCTGTGCAAATGTAACTCATGTCCTTGCAACCATAACATTCACTTCTAGGATCCAGAAGCCACTTGACGTTGCTCAACTGACCTATCCAGGACACAAATATCGAGAGACTAGATCTCGGAAAGGTCACATTGCCTTATTGACCATATTCAGCAACCTAAGCTACCCTGGAGGCAAGTATTCATGTTTTCGAAATTGTACGAAGTGCACCATCACACAGGTATTATATTTCTTTCCCCCCTCATATGTATGCATCACCCCTGGCGGTAACCCATCCTCTGATATTTCTTGACTTGCTATTGTTTTCGCCATTTGTGAAAGATATGCATACGGCACTAGTCTGATGATTCTATGGGGTAACGCATAAAGTCAGAAACCTAGTTAAGAGTACAAAATGTAGACGAAGGTCTTGCAACGGGTGTTTACGACTTGTCGGTTAAGCTTCATGCTATCCATTTTCCATACCCTCTTATGGTTCAACCCAATTCGACTAAGGTTAGGTAGATGTCTTGTGCACGGAGTACAGCCTAAAGTGCTATTACTGGTACCTACTAGTAGTATCGAAGTACGCATAGGTACTATACTTCCATCATCTAACTCATACTAAGGCACCCTTATCGAATCATCCCATTGGTTCCTGGAGCCTGAGCGACTCTGTTGTCACGTGACTGATGGCCGCAATTTTCCCTCCCCGAGCATCATCCGGTCCCTGGAGATTCCGCGGGAACGTCGCTCAGCCATTGCTGGTACAGCACCATTCAATATGCAGAAGGTCATCCGGAGGACGGCTTTGGCAAGAAACCAGGCCCAGCGAAAGGCAGTTCGAGCTGCTAAAGATGCTGAGCGTGAAGAATTCAAAGACCACCTGAGACAGCGATTCGCTTTGAACCGCATAGAGCTCGATAACATCCGCGCTGAGAGGCAACGACGACGAGAAGACTGGCTCCGCGGACCTCTAGCACCTCAGCGCGATGCCGGTTTTGAGGGCCAATCATTCGGTGCTCTGAGCCCCCAGGCAATGAATCCACCACCTATCCCCAAGCACCTAAGGAGGAAATATATCAACATCGCCGTGGGAGACCGAGTGTGTATCATGAAGGGCCGGGATAAGGGCAAGATCAATGAGGTCGTCCGTGTAGATACAAGCAATGAGACGGTTAACGTGAGGGATCTTAACATGGTATGCTTCTGTGGTTACACGCGCTATCCTTAGGGTATTTTCGCTTCTGACTGACTCTTGACATTCCGCAGAATGATGTGCATCTTCCCAGTTGGATCAACTCACAATACGGAAACAAGGGCACTGTCAATGCGATGGCCCTGCCGATTCCCATCGATGATGTCCGCCTTGTCGTTGCCCTTGACGATCCAGCTACTGGACAAACACGAGACGTCTTGGTTGAGCATGTTCACGGAGGGGAGCCAATCCTTGAACGGGAACATGGCACCGAAACTCCCAGACATACCAGATACATTTCCGGCGAAAACATCGAAATCCCATGGCCTCGCCGTGAACCTCCGGTTTTGAATGACGAAGAGTGGGATACACTACGCATGGAAGTTGAAACGCCGACTTGGACACCATCGCTGCATTATGCGCCCTTTCCTCCCAGTGTTCTGGATGAGCTCCGGAATAAGTTCTCGAAATACCGTACACGGCACGATCCGGAATGGGTTGAGGCGAAGAAGATGGAAGATTACAGAAAGGAGTACCTTCAAAGCAGGTCTTTGTTGACACCCAAGGGTGAGCTGATGGCTATGATACGGGCCAAGAAGGAGGAACGCCTGAATGCGAGAAGGGATGCTGATGGTAATATGCTCATGGACGACCAAACGGCCGGATTCATTGAGAATTTCTTGAAAGAGAAAGTGGCGAACAAGGCGTAATCAGCTTAGGTGTGATTCACCGGTTTTTGATGGGACGTGTGCCCAGAGGAATAATTTCTGTTCTCTCTCTTGTTTGAATGTTGGATGTATACAAATGTACCACTGTAGCATAGAATATGATTGTATAAGATTACCGGGTTTAGGCGTGTACTTACTATATTCCAGGCCTCTGGGTGAATCCATGGGGAAGGGAAGCGACATGGTTAGATTGGGATGTCTCTGAAAAGCCAATAGGACTCATGACTGGTCGCTATTAAGCCCCCGATTGCGTTTGGGCTATATTTGGTCGACAGCCGCCAGGGGAGTGGTTCGCAGTCTCTCTTATCCATCATCTCTCCGCGCCCGAAGTTTCCATCCCCCATCTCTCTCCCTTCAACCCTTCGCGCAGCCCCGTTCATCAAGACATTCTGTTCGGCTTTGTTAACCTGGGGGCTGCTCTTTCCCAACTATGGCATTCGCCGCAATAAATTCATCGGCTACGAAAAAGATTCCAGCCATTGAAGATGCCTTCGCCGCCGAACCTTCTTTGAAGAAACGAGTCTACGATGCGATCGGTGCGTAACCCAACACCTGACACGGGTCCTGGAGTGAAAGGGAATTGACTCGTGTCCGTTACGGCTTTACAGGGACTACCCCGCAATATATACCTCTCTTCGAGGACATTGCCAAATATACCTCCAACCTGCTGGTCAGGAATGCGAGCGCCCCCGTTCAGCCTGTCGAGACGCCTACAGACGGTCCCGCGGCGAAGAAACGAAAGCTACAGAATGGAGATACTGCAGGACAGGCACAATCGTCAGGTGATTTGAAGGCCGATGCGCCGTTACAATTCTACATGCAGGATGTTTCCTTCGCTGTTCCGCAACGGAAAAAGCTTACACTCGAAATTACGGCCGGGCGCGGTTTTCTTCGCGCAAGGAATCAGACCTCGAAGGCAGTGGAGTTTGGCATCCACGTGGACAAAATACGTAAGTCTGGTGGCCAGTTTGTATGAAATTGACACTAACTGTGTTGTTGGTCAAAAAAAGAGCATGTCCTTTGCCTTCCTGTCCCGGAAAAGAACCAGAAGCAGTTCAATTTCTGCATTATCCCCCAATATGGCGATGGTATAAACCCACCACCGGAGGGCGAAATTGCCCCCGAGGCGATGGTGTGGACGGTCAACGACGGTCCTCCCAAGGCTGCATTCTCGGGGAATGGACAACAGATGGGAACCAGCGATGGGGAAACAGCTGAGAATGTTGTTAGGCAAATGCTAAATGAAAATGTATTGCATACAAAGGTGGTGCGCCCAGATGAGAGGGAATTTGTCAGTGCCATGCCTGAGGCGCATCGAAAGGGAGAGAAAGCCTACCATGTTAAGGCCTTCCGTGGCAGTAAGGAAGGTACGGTTACCATATGCGGATTTCAATACTGGTTTGTCTTTAGCTAACCTATTGTCTACTATAGGATATCTCTTCTTTTTGTCCACAGGCATATTGTTTGGATTCAAAAAGCCCCTAGTCTTTTTTGCTTTCGAGAACATCGACTCAATCTCATACACCTCTGTACTTCAGCGAACTTTCAACCTGAACATTGTGGCTCGGCCTACTTCGAGTGATGAAACGCAGGAGCTGGAGTTTTCTATGATCGATCAGGCGGACTTTGCCGGTATCGATACTTACATCAAGAAACACGGTCTACAGGATGCTAGTCTTGCAGAAGCCCGACGTGCGAAGAGATATAATATTAACGGAGCGAAGACTGGGGAGGAAGGCGCTATGGATACGGAAGGTCCCGTCGAGGAAGAGAGCGAGTTGCAGAAGGCGCAACGCGAGCTGGATGACGAGGAAGACGAAGATGAAGAGGACTATGATCCCGGCAGCGATGATAGTAATGATGGTAGTGGCTCCAGCAGCGAGGAAGACTCTGATGAGGATGGTGATGAAGATGAAGAAGATGACGAGGAAGAGCGAGATCTTCTCGCAGATGAGCTTGGGAGCGAGGCGGAGGATGTTCCTGCTGACCAGCTGTGACGGAACACTTGTCATACTTAAAGAACTGTACGAAATACTGGACGTTTCATGGTTGCGATGCCATATTCATCTCGGTGGATTGATGCCCTGCAGGCCAGACCAGTCAGGCGTAGGTTGTTGATGTTTCATCGTAACCACCTTCGGCTTATACTTTTCATCTCTCACTCATCGTGCGGCATGTATCAATATGACACTCTGCAAAATGGGCCAGGCATTCAGCAGTGCCCCTGCAGAATCCATGCTCATGCACCATAATCAGATGTGAGGTCTCAGTCCAATCACTCCATTCCACGTAGAACCGTTTCAAGGGTGCATGGTGTGGGTTTCAACCGCCAGGAAACGCACCACTGCCCTACAAGAAAGTACATGCGAAGACTGTTTGGTGGGTCACCTACGTGTCAGGTGGAGTTTTTCAATGTTTTTGGTGGCTGTTCAACTGCGAATACCGCTTGTTGCTATGCATATCACAGGGGTTTGTACTCAGTTGATACTATGATATGCCGACACACGAGAAAATCAAGGGCAACATTCGCTACGCACTGACGGTGCCTCCCAAAGACCCCGCGCCTTCAAGTGACTAGGATATGCGTCCTTCGCCGGTAGGACGTGAATTATATTCCTGGCACTCTGCGTTGCTTCTTATAAAGTTCTCCTGGACACATGTCCTAAGATGCTTTGTATCGTGAAATTGTGGGTTAAGCATAGCCTCCTTGTGGCTTGGGAGCGGTCTTTGCATTGGAATATATATTTGGAGGACGTATCATTATCTACTTAGAGAACATGATCATCGGCTCCTCCGGAAATCCATACAATTATTAACATCGATCCGGTGATAGAGGCGCCATGTACGGAGCATCTCTCAAGCCTCCATACTCCGGAGTAGATCAGAATGAGCCCTTATGGTCCAGTGGGATGGAACTATCAACCCATGGAGTCACGAATGCAAAACCATTGGCGGATGTTCCATGGTGGAGTATCTCTAGGGGTTCAGTTGGCACAAATTGCAAGTTAAGGCAGATCGCCCATGATTACTTTGATGTTGAAGTGCAGAGAGGATTGTCCACTAACAGGACGATTGGCAATACCGATGCTTCCAACGATCGGTGTGGCTTTTGTAACCACGGACCATCAACCGGGGTTGATAATAGGTCAGGCTAAAGGAGAGTGATCCAAAATCAGCCTGACCGTGGTTCCCAGTGGCGTGATTTTGCTCTGGCTATGGAGCACTACTGCCAGTAGTAGGATCTGGGTCCCTTCTGAAAGGGGTTGCGATATACCGTGTTATGTCTTACACAGTCTACGAGTAGTACCTGGAGATGAAGACTAGGTATGAACTTTTTTTTTTTCTTTCAAGAGCTCAACGATACGCCGAGGTTCGACATGCTCGCTTGCCGTGCTTTTCTCTTTCTTTTCCTTTTTTCTTTCTTTCTTTCTCTTCTCCCCTTCTCCTCGACCAAAAAAGTGGCACCTTCTGATTAAGGAGTGGCATTGGTCCCATTTTCCCAAATTCGGAAATATAAGCTACCCGCGGCAGCGAGAGGGCGCGTGCTCAAAGCCGATGTGCTCCCCTGAATGGTGGGTTAGTCGTGGTATCGAACGGTGCGTTCGATCGAGTTAATATGTTCTCGACAGAAGAAGCGACCCAAGCCACTATCGAGTATTCCTCGGAATATGTAGTACTATAGACGATGGAAACGGTAGAAGAAACTGATCCTTAAAATGCCGCAGGGTATAGATTGGTCAGGGGCACGGCCAGCAAAGCAATAAACTAAGTCGTTGTTTAGTCCGCGTCTGCCGGCGACTGCTTTGAGTAGGAGCTGCTTGACAGCTAGCATTTTGATCTCCGTACCTGGCTTTAACACATGTATGTTGTCCTGCAGCGATAGACTTTTGAGGTTAAGGCGAGGGACAATCCGCTCCCGTTGGATGTATGCACCTGGATTGCTCGCTTATCATGGTGGTTTATATCGATTCATGGTAGGGGTTGTCCTTCGTGGTACAGTACAGTACGGAGGGGGGGGTACGACCTTCGTACTAGTACTAGGGGGTCCGAACAACTGGACGATGGGAAATGAAAAGCCAATCAATGACCCCCCTCCTGACTCTGAAGGTTCCAGGTAAGGTAAGGTATGTATGGGATCATGGTACCATACGGGAAATGTTACCCTGCACATGGCCGAGGATCAATTGTAAGTACTCAAAACTACATAGGTCGACAGTGTATTTCAGAAAATGAAAAAGAAAAAAACAAAAAAAAAAAAACCAAAAAAGAGTAACCATAGTAACAATTGGAACCTGCGCAATCCACATGGGTCTCCTTACACAATGAATGTCTCTCAATTGAAATTTCCTATTGACCTGGGTTCCCCAGATTCATGGAACAATCCCACCCCAGGTCGAGTAGCCATCTTGATCCTTGGGTACTATCTACGGGGAAGCACGCGACGAACAATGACTGGAACGATTGTTCCTGGATCGTATACATACATACATACATTTTCACGTATTCGAGCTAATCCCTCCCCGTTCGGAATCTTAGCTTGCCAGTCTGGCCAGAACGACCGCCGAAATCCACTTACTATCTCCTTAGCAAGTTAGTGTCCGGGCTTCAACCGTTCGTCGCCCAACAGCCCGAGCGCTAAGGGAGCCACTAAGCCAGTCCAGTGACTTCAGTCCCTGTACTAGGGCGAGTCGAGGTTCCATACGGAATTCCCTGTTTTCCTTGCTCTTCCTGGAGATGTCTTGATTTCGAAGTCTTTGGAAAACTGATGACGTTTTTTTCCCTGGTCCATTGGGAATTGTATTCCCTGTACTTAGTTGATGTACGGTATTTATCCAACGGCCGACGAGATCTCTGAAAATTACCATGGTTCTCCCTCTAAAGGATCCTCGAATTATATTTCCGCTAGTCAATACCGACACTGACCGACCTTAGTAGTAGTACCCATACGCGCTAACCCCCAAGGCAGGCAGCCGGGTAATGTAAGTTGAATGGTACCTCAGCCTTCAGGTACGGAACGACAGTCGACGGACCAGTGACAAGTCGGCCGTCCGTCGTCCAACCATCGCCTTCCCTCCCTCTTGACTTTCCTCCTCTCTCCGCCTCATTTTTTCTTTTTTGGTTCCTAACTTTTTTCCCTCCCTCCCCGTAGGCTCAGGTGTCCATAGCCTCCATACTACTGGTGTGTTCCCTCTTCACCTAAGAACTTTCTATCCACTCATAGTTCCCCATCGCTCTCCCCATTCCTTCTTCCTCCATTACTCTTTCGAACCTCACCCTCTTCCTTCCATTTCCCTTCTCCATTCTCCCAATCCTTTCAAACCACTGCTCAGTGCGGTTCATCGTACTGCGACGCAGTTGGTGAGTACCAGGGAGTAATTTTCACTTGTTAATTATTTCCCTTTTTTTTTTCTTTTCCATCCTCGACTGAACCCACTTTTCTTTTTCCTTTTTACGATCCTCCCTTTTCCACAGCGCACCTTAAACTGTCAACCTGCAGCCCCGATTGTCGGCCTACCGGAGATAATTACCTGTACTGCACTTCCGTGACCTTTTCCCATCAAACGCTTCCAAAGGGTATACAATTCTCTCTTCGCCTGATACTATCGGTGCGACTGGTTCACACAGCCGTCGATTTGCCTCCGCCCGTTGCCTCCGTTTTGTTGTGCCGGTTCTAGCATACATTAGACTCGTGAATGAATGGTCTAGATCGCAAACAGGCTTTCTGTGAGCCTTTCCCCCTTTCTTTTGCGTGCAATGCAGTTATCATCCCATTCCGGTCGATCGGTGTTAATTGATATTTACCCTTGTTACCTTGCTGACTGTTTCGATCTATTCGCAGACTAGTCTTTCACGTGCCGAGCCTGCGGATCAAGTCTCCTGACCCGACTGTCCCTTGGTGAAATCAGCCTTCCGCTTACCGTCACCAATACCCATTGCAACCATGGCGTCCTCGTCGTCCAACGTTGTGGGTGTCCACTACAGAGTGGGAAAGAAGATCGGTGAAGGATCGTTCGGTGTAATCTTTGAGGGCACAAACCTTTTGAATAACCAGCAGGTGGCCATTAAATTCGTGCGTGCATTGTCCCAATGGAGGAGAAGGACACTCGACATACTGACAGCTCCAGGAACCACGGAAAAGCGATGCACCGCAACTCCGCGATGAGTATCGGACGTACAAGATTCTGGTCGGATGCCGTAAGTCCTGGACGAGCTTACTCATATAACAGAAGACATTGTTCTGATTGAACGCAGCGGGCATTCCCAATGTCTATTACTTCGGCCAGGAGGGTTTGCATAACATCTTGGTGATCGACCTTCTCGGTCCGAGTCTGGAGGATCTTTTCGATCACTGTAATCGTCGCTTTTCGACAAAGACAGTTGTGATGGTGGCTAAGCAGATGGTGCGTTGTACTGACGATCTTGTATGCATATCGTCTAACAGTTATCTTCAGCTCTCTCGTGTCCAAACGATTCACGAGAAAAACCTAATCTACCGTGACATCAAGCCCGACAACTTCCTCATTGGCCGCCCTAATTCCAAGGCTGCCAACGTTATCCATGTTGTCGACTTCGGTATGGCCAAGCAATATCGCGACCCAAAGACCAAGCAGCACATCCCTTATCGTGAGCGAAAGTCGCTGTCCGGTACAGCTCGCTACATGAGTATCAACACCCACCTGGGCCGGGAGCAATCCCGGAGAGATGACCTGGAAGCTCTGGGTCACGTTTTCATGTACTTCTTGAGAGGAGGCCTTCCGTGGCAAGGACTTAAAGCCGCGACGAACAAGCAGAAGTACGAGAAGATTGGTGAGAAGAAACAGACCACTGCTATCAAGGATCTGTGCGAAGGATTTCCTGGTACTAACCCCCGATCTTTTCTTTTTTTTTTCTACTTCAGCGCAGCCATGCTGACCCGTTGAACTATAGAAGAGTTTACGAAGTACCTCACTTATGTCCGCAACCTTGGGTTCGAAGACACACCGGATTACGACTACTTGAGAGACTTGCTCACGCAAGCCTTGAAGAACGCAGGAGAGGTCGAAGATGGCGAATATGACTGGATGAAGCTCAACAATGGAAGAGGATGGGAGTACAAGTCGTACTCGTCCCAGCAGCATCTCCACAAC